CATTGAAAATTATTTTTGGCTATTATTTCGAAAATGAAACATTTGCGACCCCGTGTTCATAGGAACATTTTTTTTTCTAATTTTTGATCCTGGAACACGCACACGAAGTTTGTGAACATACTTCTGACTCATTCTGGAGAATTTTTCTACAAAGTTTTCGAACCTTTCCGACATTTGGTAAGACTTCTTGGACAGAGGGAGGAGTTACCGTGGTTCCACTGTCAACATATTTTTATAACCTCTTTGTTGTTACCTTTATGTATTTGTTATTGCGCTCTTGTGTTCTCTGGCTGTTGATGCTACTGGATCGAATACAGTTCGATGTTTCTTCAAGTGTCCCATACCAATTCTCCATGGCAATTCAAGGCAAACCAGACGTATCCTTGGGCAACACAAGGCTACCTGCAACCACGAGTTGGAACCTTCCCAACAGTAGATATACGATGTATATGATACTCTTCTGTTCAAAACAATTTCTATTATGTCTTTGCAGATGTGTTCGTCAAAATTACAAATAAAATGTCCCTATTTGAAGCATCTCTGTCAATTAAAATGTCTGTCTTCTGAGTTGTAACGCAGTGTATTCTGGTAGAAGTTTACCAACGCTCCAGAGGTAGTTCTTACTTTCGTCGTCAGGGCGATGACTAAGCCGCGCGCGAGGAATCAGTTTGAGACATACAGGAACCAGTCAGTCAGGGCAGCAAGTACCTCTGAAACGTATTACAACCTCGAAGACAGTCATCATCATAATCGCCGCTATGAGAACCTGAAATCCTGCTTCTATGGTATTGGTTTCCAAATATCTCGTGCCCCTTCTCATTTGAGAATTTCCGAAGGTCACTTGATGATCATTTTGCCTGTTGTGTATATTTTTGTTTCTTCCATTTAAAATCCCAGTTATTCCGCTGACCACACTTTGTAGACCTCTTATCTGGGTGGTAGATAAAGCAGATGTAACGCCACATGTACCCCTAATATCGAGACAAAGTGGAGGCAAGTGGTCCGTTTCACAATCCGACATTTCAAACCCCGAATCGTTGAAGTGAAGGGAGCGAATAGAAGCTATCGCTATTACCGACTGAACAACGGTACTTACGTCCGCCGCCATTATATTTTTACATTAGCAGTAGATGACAGGGCAATGAATCACGCACGTTTAAATGTGGTGGTGCCGTAAACAATTGGTGTGGCTGCATGTCTTTTAGTTTTGTGGTAATGACGGCTGAAGTAGACATTGTGTTGGTTGTGTGTAATATGTGATGCGAAGTTGCTGTGGTTTGGTTTACAAAGTTCAAAAAATCGTTTTACGCCTTGTTCCTCCGTAGTCTGTGATATTTGTTATTTGTGATCAAGATTGCACAAAGTGATAATTGGCGAAATAGGTGAACATGGAGCCATCCCGACACGACTATACAGAATTAATTAGAAGGCTGCCTTTGAAATTACGTTTGGCCTATGGCATTGGGCACGTGTTAAATGACATTTGTGCCTCCATGTGGTTTACGTATCTATTAGTGTTCTTCCATTTAGTATTAAAATTCGATAGTTTCTTGTCAGGGGTAGTATTGCTAGTTGGGCAAGTGGCAGATGCCGTGGCAACACCTTTTATTGGTTTACAGTCTGACCGGGATGATGACTTCTGGCTCTGTAAATACGGACGAAGGAAAACCTGGCATCTTTTAGGTAATAGTTTATTTAACTACGCTTTTTCAGTAGCTCAGACGGTCAAATGAGAGGATGATAATGAATGTAAAAGGAAGCTTTCGTGGCGAAATTTAAGGTAATATGTCGGCAATTACCTGGAGGGGCTGAGAAAAACCACGAAAACCGTCATTCAGGATGGCCAGCCTTCGGGCTGAAATTTGAACCCGGGACTTCCCCAATACGAAGCAGGATTGTTAACCACTCGACCATGACGTTCTGTTTTTAGGTAATAGTCATGACGGCATTGGTGAAATGTTATTTTTTGAAATTCTCACCTTGTTTAAAGATGGACATTTTGCAATTGTAATTTGTAGTGGGAGTGGCTGTTTCCCTTTGTAATTAATGCCTGACCAGTGCATGTCCTGATTTAATTTTATTTCATGTATAATACAGTTACCGGTAGCGGGTAGGAACTCTCTTCGGAGATAGTCCTACTTCAGGGAAGTGCGCCCCTGCCTACGTGAATTCCGGGTCCCCTTGACCCGAGGGGTAGCAACCTGCAAGGGTTCCTCTACCAGGCTCACAGTAGATGGCATAGGGCAGCAGCTATGTCATTACAGGGGTGAGGCTATTGAAGAATGACTTCCCTTAAAGGCCCGTCACCAGATATTCACAGGCGACAATCACATACTGATTGTACTGGTTGTGATACTGCGATGGAGAAGGCAACGGGAAACCACTCCATTATAATTCCCTAGTACAATCAAGCATGGCTGAACTCAAATTGCTATGTTGATCGCCAACAACCGGAAAGGATAGGCACTTTAAGAAGAAGAAGAATAATACAGTTACGGAATGCTTTTCAGACAAGATTGTTAAAAAATTGTTTTTTGAACCAGATTTTTCTGGACTAAGTAATATGTACATTTGTTATGTAAACAGTGTGAACTTTCATACATTGACCTGTTCAAAGTTCGACTTCAGCATAATTATAGGTGACAATATGTTTGCAATCACAGTCTATCTGCATGGTTATAAGAAAGCCTTAATTGATACTTTGTTCATCCTTTCAGTCAGTTCTGTGTTTTCCATACATGCAAAAGGAAAGCTAGTAGACATTCTTACACTATTGTGAAAGACATTAAATACAACTTTGGTACTGGGCACATCTTCACAGCCAGCATCAATAACATCTCTCTGTTTACTTAACTTTAACTTTAGAACAGCTGAATGGATTTTCGTGAAATGTGGTATGGATGTTATACCATTGGATCGCTTAAGAATCATGATTTTTAATTTCCTTCTCTTGGTAATACTAATGTGACATGCTGAAGTTGTGGGGTGGAAGGACAATCATCAGTGGTGATATTGTTACATATCAGTTGCTGTGTGAACTATTCATGCTGCCATCTATGAACTATTGATGTTACAGTCTGTTAGTGGTCTGGCAAACTATACATCCCATTCTGTGTTATCCATCAGCTGATCACGATATCGTTTATCAGTGGCTATGTGAATTGTCACTGCTAACATCTATCAGTGATCATATGACCTGTTAATACAGTAATTTACAAGAGGCTTGACTACAAAACATCGTGTATTAAATTATGTTGCCATGTTAATGTCAGAAGACAGATTTATCTGTTGAGGTTCATTTTTTTTGTGAATATATCAGTGTTACAAATTAAGATGATAAATATGTGAGTATATTGAAAGAGTAATAATAGTAAATTGATGGTTGCTTGTATTATTAATTGCTGTAATTATGCACAATTAAAGAGAGAACATTAAACAATGTGTGTGTGTGTGTGAGAGAGATGTGGCTTAAAGAATGCCTTCGGAATTTGGTGTACCTCAAAGAGTTAATTGTTCAGATCTTGTTAATGGTTAAATATTGATTTGTAAAACTGCAGATTAAAATAAATTAATATAATCTTATTTGTTTCCAGGAACTATATGTGTTCTGGGAAGCTTCCCCTTCATTTTCTCACCATGCCTGAATTGCGAAGGAAGCCATCAGATGGCACAACTGGTGTACTACTCAGCATTTATCATCATTTTTCAGTTTGGTTGGGCTTCTGTGCAGATTTCACACCTTTCAATGATACCTGACCTAACTCCAAGTGAACATGAGCGTACTGAACTGACTGCCATCAGGTAAGATTAGGTGTTGGTGCAGTTCATAGTCATGTAATGTTTCTCATTGGTGGCTTATAATTTTACGGTATGGTGCCCAATTACTTAGGTTAGAATAGATATCTCTTACTCATAAACAGTTCATAAGTGTTTACTTTTATCGCTTTTAATACGAGGCACGTCCCAAAAGTAAGTTTCCCACTCGTCCCACAGCTAGCAAACCTTATATTGCGCGAAGCGACTGTGCGTACGTGATAGAGCAATGACGTAGCATGGCGCATGCACTAACGGCACTTCCCGCGTTCTCACAGTAGCATCGTTGCAGCTGTTGAAGATGGAGGTTCTTATTCCAGCCCCCGCCGACTGTGAAGTGCGGTCAGTGATAACGCTAGGCCGCACACGGCTCAACGGACAGCGAGTCTCCTGCAGGAGTTCAGCTGGGAGGTGTTTAATCATCCACCCTACAGCCCGGACCTCGCTCCCAGTGATTTCCATCTTTTCCTACACCTCAAGAAATTCCTGTCCGGTCAGCGTCAGCGTCAGCGTTTTGAGAATGACAGAGAGGCGGAGATGGCTGTCACACAGTGGTTCCAATCCCAGGCGGCAGATTTCTACGACACAGGTATTCAAAAGGTGGTCCCACGGTATGACCAATGTCTCAATTCCGGTGGCGAATATGTTGAAAAATAGCTGGACACTTGCTGTATCTGTTGCAATAAATATTTCCATGAAATTGTGTTTTGTTTCTGTAAACGGCCCCAGGGAAACTTACTTTTGGGACGCGCCTTGTAGTAGCATTTAAACCAAAGATAAAATTGTATTTTGTTTCTTTAACAGATATAGTTTTACAGTTTGCTCTAATGTGTTGGTGTATCTTATCACATGGCTTGTCCTCCATATTGGCAGTGAGAATGATGCACAGATCGGTCCTGGGGATATAGGAAAGTTTCAGGTGAGTTACTGAATATGACAGGTCGCAATAAAATTGTAAATGTGTTACAACGATTCCATATAACAGTAATTCTTGTGCTTCCACAGCATATAGTGTTGATTGGAATTGGTATAGGTGCTCTGACATCATCGGCGTTCCACTTGTTGGTGAGCGAGGGTTCCGCCCCCGGCCACGTGCGACTCGCAGGCCAGAGGAAGTCCGCGGGCAGTCTGCTGAAGGACGTACAGTTGTATCAGGTGGCGCTAGTGTACATGTCCACGCGTCTGTTTGCGAATCTGAGTCAGGTTTACATTCCTCTGTACCTACATGAATCTCTCAGCATGGGTGCAGAGAGCCTTGCTGTGGTCCCACTCGTCATGTTCTTGTCCAGCTTTGCGATGTCACTGCTTGTCAATGTTCTGAACAAGAAGTGCGGTAGGAAGGTGAGTATAAGAGAAGAAGGTTACAAAGACATCATGTTAAAGTTCAAGTAATATAGGCCTGCAAAAAAATAACTATGAAATATTATGGTGTATGTTTACTTTTATTTCATAAAATACTGTTTTCTTTTATCAGTGACGGCTGTTGTGTTACACCACGAAGTTTACCGATTTTAGTTATTAGTATCAAATCTAAAACTTCTTGACGATGGTGAAGAGTCAGTTGAATAAAAATTTTCTTGGATATTATCCATCGTCTAGTAAATGTAAAACGACGTTTCGGAGATGGGACTCTATCTCCGTCTTCAGGTTCCTACACAGTTGGGCCCACTAGATAGAGCTAATCCCTATCTCAGGACCTCTTGGATATTATCCATCGTCTAGTAAATATAAAACGTAAAAACGACGTTTCGGAGATGGGACTCTATCTCCGTCTTCAGGTTCCTACACAGTTGGGCCCACTAGATAGAGCTAATCCCTATCTCCGGACCAAGGAAAATTTTTATTCAATTAGTTATTAGTGCAGTGACATAATGAGATATTTTAAATTCAGTTATAATTACATTGCAAACTCATGGGAAGTGCAAATTATTAAACAGTATAGTATGTGAATGTTCTGTATTACAACTTTGAAGAAAAATTTCGTATATATTGTTGAAAGGGTGTTGGCATCTTTTAAAGGAAAAGTATGCAGCCCTCATATGAAATACATACATGGTTCATTGCAGACCAAGTTTGAATACCTAATAATGTAAATTGCAGTTATGTTATTTGTAAGATGGCTGTCTTCTGGGTTGTAGTCTGGTAGAAGTTTACCAACGTTTCATAGGTCCTTGCTCCCTCCATCATAATGGCGATGATTACCATTTGCAAACTTCTACCAGACTGCATGGCACTACATTCCAGAAGACAAGCCATCGTTGGACTCATTGCCATGAAAACCTCAAATCCTATTTATGTATTTGTAATTAATATTTAATGTAATTTAATTATACCAAACAGTTTAAATTACTAATTTTTAGGATTCTTCGAATGTACTTACTATTTATGCAGTATTTGTCACTGATGGCCTTTCTATGTTCAAAATATGTCAGTTTGATTTTATGAGAGGTAGCTCTTAATTCACATAGCGTATGTTCATCTGCAAGCGTGCCCCTCAATTTTGATTACAACTTGCTTTCTTTGTAATAGTTTCTTAAGCTAGCTCCGCCTGCTCACCAGCCATCTTTCTTTTGCGTGCTTTTGTTGCAGCTCGCATTCTTGGTTGGGGGAATTTTGGGTATTTCAGCCTGTGTATGGATTCACTTTGGCTCAGGAGTCTTCTACACAAAGTATGGGATTTATCTTGTCGCAATACTTCTAGGTGAGTGTAGTCCTCTGTGACGATACTGCAAGGTCTAACGTATGTATACTGAAAATCTTATGAATATGACGACAGTTTCTGAAACCGATATGAGAAGAGTGATTGTATCATCTCCGTCTTGTTTTTATTAAGTTTTCTTTTCCTGTAATTGTTTCTCACAATATTGTATTCTTTTTTAAGTTCTGAATAACGAGTGGAAAGGGATACTCTGATGGGGTATACATATTTTTTAAAATGCTGTGTTATATTTTGCGTACATCACTGTTTTTATTGTAGATGCAAATTTATTATTGCATTGTCAATTGTACTATGCCTAAGTAAAATTAAATTTGTTTTGTTAAATAGTCTTCGATATGAATTTTCAGGTGCAGGAAGTTCAGTCATGTTAGTGACTAGTCTGGGTATAACAGCTGATCTGATTGGTCCGAACATAGAAAGCGGAGCTTTCGTATATGGAACAATGAGTTTTATGGACAAGTTATCTAATGGGGTTGCTGTAACAGTAATTCAAGACCTGTAAGTATTTTATCTTGAGGTTTTAAAAAATAAGATCTTGTTCTCATAGGGACTCCAAATCCCCCTTAAAGGAACTGATAGTTCTGGGGAGAATATTTGGACCTAAAAAAAGATGAAAGGAGGGGGGAAAATGAAGATTTTCGCACTCTCCTCACAACATTGAGAAAACGAGTAATTGCTCGTAGACTTTTGTGAACTTGAATCTTAAGTTCCCTTAACAGTTCAGCTCCTCGTGCTGTGATGTCTTCGCAGTGTCTTGATTCAGGTTTCTTACAAGTGGTAATCTGCTTGATTTTTAAAGGAAAAGTACAACGCTTTCCCCCGACTACTACCGTGATGTCCTAATGTCTGTGTGTGGTGGTGCTGCCATTTTTGGCTTGGTCGTATTAGCCACGCTTGCACCCTTCCAGATTGGAACCAAAAGAACAGGTGAGCATGTTGCTGGCTTTCTAAATGTCAGATGTTACGTGCGTCGAGGAAAGATGTTTGTGGCTGGAGTCCCAGTTCCACAGAGATGTACTCTTAACTCTATTGTGACAATAAGAATGCAGTTATAAAAACATTGTTGATTAATCTTAAGAATCACTCATATTATATATTAGTGGTTGTAGTTGATAAAACTGATAAAAATTTCAATGTTTACAGCAGATGGTGAACCTGTTTATGCGGCAATAGAGTCAAATCCAGAATTTGAGTCTGAGCCAACACACTCTACACCTTTAATTCAAAATGACAACCAAGTAGTTATTTCATAATGATACATTGTTTTGTTATATAAGATGGCTGTGATTTAAGGACCTCCTCATGTTGTTATAATTGGAGAAGAAGGTTAATTAATGGTATGCTGGTCTTTTTTTTTTCCTGCAGTTACCACTCAATGCCTAGTGTTGTATAACATCGCGTCTATGAGTTGTTATATTTTAAGGAAGAAGGAATATTTTGTATTATTACTATTTGTATACCTTTAATCACTTATGTATATTTCTATGACTCAAAACGTGTTTATGGAAAGTAAGCCCAATTTTTCAGTATTATCAGAAATGTGATATAGACATTTTTATGACACTAAGCCCATATATCAAGTAGAAAATGTCCAGCGTTGCTAGAAGGATAGAGTTTAGGAAGTCTGTCTGATTGGTAACAATCTCACATTTAATGTGGAATGCAGTATTACTAGTAAATGTCATAATTTTTACATTTTTTGATTCATTGTTTATCTAGATTGAAGAAAGTATTTTAAATTCAGAAAAATAAAATGAAATTATCACATTTACCTCAGTGTATTTTCATACAGGTGTGCATTTATTGATTTGTTATGCTTAATTATCTGCTGTCAATGTTCCTGAACTAAAAATTATATATCTTAGTCCTCTTCTAGTGGCTAGAGGTGTTGAAAAGAGTTCTCTGCTTCCTTTGGTTTGTGACTTGGACATTGTGATAGCCGGCCTGAAGACTGGTTGAGAAATGAGAAACTCCTACTGTAACATGAAAGTGGGCAAATCCTGTCTCAAGAATTAAGATATTTCAACCAGCGGTACCTCTGAACTGGCAGGGACCAAGCCTCTTCCAGGCTAGGGTACTGCAGGAATGGCCTGCACATACTTGAACTTTATCTTGAAAGTACTGCAATCAAATAATGGTACAGTAGGGCCCCGCTTTTCGGCCCTCCGCTTTATGGCGATCCGCTAATACGGCGCTCAACAGCTGAGTCAGAGAAGTGCGTCCGGCGCCATTTTCTCATCGCTGATTCAGTCTTTACAGCTTTTGTGCGCTCCGCGTCTCTCTGTATTTCTGGCAATTTTTCAGTTATTACAAACTGTATATTTATATAATATTTTTGTGTTACTACAGTGTAATTACAATGGCGTCTAAGGGTAGTAGCGATAAAAAGAGGAGTCGTAAGCCTCTTACTTTAAATGCCAAGTTAGAGATGATTAAACTTCGTGAACAAGGCATGTCTATGGCTTCCGAACCATCACCAAAACGAATAAGATGGTGAAATAAGGCAAAAGATCCGATTTTCGATTTACGGCGGGGGGCTGGGCCCTAACCCGCCGTATAAGCGGTGCCCTACTGTAATTAAACTAAAACTTGTATTAGAGCAATGTAATTTTAGACTGTGTATGAATACAAGCATTTAAGCCATGAATACAGACTGGAAGTACATTAATGGACTGCACAGTGTGGCCTGTTATGTTGACATTTGGTAATATGTAAAATTCTCTTAGAATGTGAATTTAAGACACTTCCTTATTCTGTCAGATGCAGAAAAGACAAAAATTACTCATTTTTTATTCAGATAAATATGATACTTAATGTGATTCATTCACTATAGGAAATGTTTTATATTTTATTGGACAAATCTCATCATATATTTGTATACTTTTGAGCGTGAGAAACTCTCTCTCAAATCATAATCAAGTTGTTCAATTCAAATTACTGTGCACTGGTATGTGCACAGACTAATGTGTTCTGGCTTACTACTGGAATGTGAACTGAACATACGGAGTAAAAGGGAACTTCATGGTCAACTCAAATCCCTTTTTGGGTGGAGGAGGAGATTCTGTAGTAGGCCATACCAGGTGTACAGTTTATATTTGTCGATGTACTTGATAATGATAATTTTTATTGATAGCATTATGCATACAAATGACTTAAGTATGTGCCACGTAAAAGTAAGTTGGAAATGACCAGAAACAATATAAATATGTATAACCACACACTTTGCCTTGAATGTAAAACACTACATGAAAATTTTTATTCAATCCTGAGAAACAGTGCACTTGTTTTTTTTAAAACAATTCAGAGGGTCCAGGTAGCATGTTGGTTCATTTTTTGGATTTTGTGGCCATTTTGTCTTATAGAGAAATATAGTATTACATAATATTTACATAAATAATACATATTTTTTAAACATTTTTTAATCTGTGAATACTAGATGAGATTTATAAAATTAAGTGATGTTTTTTGACAGATATCCAGTAGTATCTAGTAGGCCTGGATTTTATTAGGAGGATACCCTAGTTGTAAATTTTATGAAAACCTCTAAGCAAAATATGACAATTTTTCTTGAACTTGAAGTTTAATATAATGAAGTATTGTAGTACAAATTGTACAAGTGTCTTCCTTCTACTTCATCCATGTCAGAGATGATGATGTATGAGAATACCCACTAGTGTTTATCCTCTGGGTCTTGTCATGTTTCTCACATCTTACATTTACACTTTACCGCCTTTTATGTGTTGACTGTTTTCCTTTTTTCTCCAATCCCAGCATTCTTTTAGGAATCACATCTTACATTTACACTTTACCACCTTTTATGTCTTGACTGTTTTCCTTTTTCCTCCAATCCCAGCATTCTTTTAGGAATCATTAGGTTTTCCATAATCAACAAGAACTGTATTCACAAAATAAATTGAATTCACTATGTGTTTAACAAGAGTGGTGTTTTCTCACATGTACAAATTGACAGTGACAGCAGACACATTTGTTACAATTTGAAATTCATACCGCTGTCACAGGAAGTTCAAAATGTGCAAATATTCACACAAAGTTGATGTCAGTACAAATCAAATGTAATGTAAAGTGGATGCTGACTGACACACTCCCTTTTGTGCAAGTTATTTGTTAATTATCTTCCATGCGGCCAGTGTTACGCCCCTGGGAACTTGGCTACCCATTCTATAGGAGGCTGGCTGAACATAAGCTGTTGGCTCGCAGTCCACAAGATGATGTACAATAATTTACTGGAATTCTGCAAGATACGATAAAGACTTGGTTGTAACCTGTGCTGTAATGTCAAGAATTTCAGTCCATGCCATAATATTTCAGTATTGATCAAAAACATGTCAGAAAAGGCATAATGTGTTACAGTGCCATAGGCAAACAAATGTTGACCACAGCAAAGTAGGACCAGATGCTAAATTGAAAACGTCCAGTGACAACTTATGTGGTTGTGTTGAGCTCTACTAGCAGTGACTGAAATAATGAAGTAGAGTTTCTTGGTGTGAAAAGACAGTAAGTCCAAATAAGAAATGAATAGTTCCCAAATATGTGATCAGATTAGTCATTTTCTGGAAATATCGTAGAGACATAATGCAAGTACTGAAGTGCAGGTTTTAAAATCTGGGACAAAGTTCAAAAAAACTGAGAAAGGGAAAAATGTGCTTCACTATCTCTATCCAGCCTTTGAGTGCAGTGAGTATTAATATGTCGTATTTCGTTAGCTATTTAGGGGCCCGAAATGAGCATATGCTTCATTTTATATACCAAGACACCGTTTCAAGATAAAGACTTGCATTTAATGCACTACACTAGCGCTACGGCTGTGTTATGCACTATTTGACCTGATTTCTTATGTGGCATGTATCGTTAACCATAGATATTGTATTGTATGATTCGAGGCTCTCACGGCAGTGAGCCCGAAGATGGATGTTTCATGGGTTGTAGCACCGTATAGTCTGGTAGAAGTTTGCCAACTTTTCAGAGGTCCTTGCTGGCTCCATCATCAGGGCGATGACTAATCTGTGGTAAATTTCTACCAGACTGCACAGCGTTAAAACCCAGAAGACTACCATCTTCACAGATGTATTGTTCAATTATTTACATTTTGTCAATATTTGTTTTAGTTTGGTAATAAAATTTCCAAACTTTAACAATTAAGCTATAAAGTAATGTCAGCGAGTATCGCTAGAAGCCTAAGATTATCTCACAAAGGTATTCCGACTCTGTTTCTTTACGGAGAACTTACATGTAGTATGAATACAAAAGAGGCCGTGAGTACAGAGTGAAAATTTACCATGGCTGACTGAAAATAAAGATGAGTCAATAATTCAGTATTGTGGATTAGTAAGTCACTAAATAATTTGTTAATTCAAATATTCTTGAAGGGAGATTGAATTTGTGGTGGATAGACCAAGTGTAAGAGTGATCAACAATGAACGGTTTGAGTTTAAGTGAGTTGTGCTGTTTGTTTTGTTGTCCTCCTTGTCCAACAAGAATTGCTGCCAAACTGGCATTCCTACCACCCGAAACTACATATAATTTTCTGCCGGACGAAACGGGATCAAAATTCAGTTTGAATCTTACCGAACGAGCAGAGTGGCAATATTCTGAACGAGAGAAAGAAAATATCGAGGGTTTCTATGCACGGACTTCTCGGGGTAATCGCATTGCATGTTTATTTGTGAGGTGCAGTACAAACGCACGATTTACAATATTATTTTCACATGGTAATGCAGTTGATTTGGGACAGATGAGTAGTTTTTATCTAGGACTTGGTTCTCGCATCAATTGCAACATATTCAGTTATGACTACTCAGGTTATGGAGTAAGTACAGGAAAGCCATCAGAAAAAAATTTATATGCTGACATCGATGCAGCATGGCATGCTCTTCGCACCAGGTATGGAATATCGCCGGAGAACATAATCCTGTATGGACAGAGTATTGGCACCGTTCCTACAGTGGACTTAGCATCACGCTACGAAGTGGGAGCTGTCATTCTTCATTCACCACTTATGTCAGGCATGAGAGTTGCCTTTCCCAACACCAAGAGGACTTGGTTCTTTGATGCCTTCCCTAGGTGATTATTTTTTAGTTTGTAGGAAGCTCAGTGCTTTGTTATAAAATTGCATGAAACTTGAATCTGAGTAGAGTTGTAGCCCATTTGTTACCTGTCACTGATATGAACACTTGTCTCACCTGTTTCACCTTAAGGTAATGTTTTGCATTGGTGGTAGGCGATATTGCTGCATATGCAAGTCTGTTGTTCTGTTTGATATGAGCATACATGAAGACATAAATATCTGTTTGAAAAAGTACCATTAGACATCTGTTCAAAATACATATAAAAGTGGGTTTTTTGTTGTATTCAAAACAAAGAAATTTATACATTGTGTAGCAAAAGGACAATTTCCTTATTCTGTGTTATTTTGTACATCTGAACTATGACAACTTTTGTCTGCAAGTTATAGTTTTTAATATTTTGGGTTGTAAAGAGCCATCATGCTTAAGCTCCTGTTATTTTTTTTTATGTTACTTCCATGAAGTGATAGGATTTTAAAAATTTGTCGTGTTTTCTCATTTACAATCTTCATATTACATTTTGTGAGGCAAGTGTGTTTTGATGGTGTTTTGTTTGTTGCTGTGTTTGTATATTTCTTTCTGTGGAGAAATGCTTTTATATTTAATCATTGTTCTGATGCACCTTCTGCAGTTTGGTTGTCATAGTACCAGCATTGAGCCAAGCACTGGAATTCTAATATTACTTGATGATTTGCTTTCACTTTATGTTCGTTTTTATTCATAAATGGTACTGGTTGAACAGCTGTTGCTGCACTTTGCTGAATGTGAATGGTTTATATAATTGGATTTTGATAGTGATTTGAGATAGGTATGGCTTTTGACATGTGAACTTGTTTCTTGGTTTCACCTGATTTTAAGCAAACTCTTTAGATATAATTGTTTAATAACAGACGTGTATCTTTTCCATTTTGAGTGTACCCTGCATTTGTTAAAATACTTGTAATTGTGCTCACCATTACATACTTTATGTTTTTAGTCTGATATGAAAAGATTCTGATCAAGTTCAGAAAATCAAGATTGGTAATGTCAGTTTTATATGGAATACACAAGCGGCAAACAAGTGTTTTATATCTGTAATTATTAAGAATAATGAAAAAGATGCTTTCATAGTGTAAGGCTGAGTGTTTTAAGACCACATTTCACCAAGTAGCTGCAATTATGAAGTGGTCTTATTGTTCGATCTTCAGGTATTAGCCTGCTTTCCTTAATCATGAAGAATGTGTGTGTGTTAAGTTTGTATGTATGTCACGACCACCAAATAGTTTTTAAAGTAGTTTTACGATATTCATGTAAGTTTGTATGAATATCACGCAATATGAGTTTACTCCCTCTTTGTACATTTTAATTCTGTACCACAACAGAACCAGTGTGGTGATTGTATGGTTTCCTGCTTTATGAGTGACAGTAACATTCTTTAATGTGGAGTCCTGGAATTTTGTGTGATGATAAACCTTTAAACATATGTGTGAGGTAGTTTTAATGATGTAGTGAGTACCCAGTGTTTATAATTATATACCAAATAACAGCATACATCCTCAAGTTTTTACATGTCATAAATCAATCCAGTTCTATACAGATCCATGGCAGCTTGCTGTATTGCTTATGTAGTCCAAATTTAAAGTTCTTAATTTCTGTGTAGCATAGGATGCACGTACAGAGCATTCTTCATGACGCTTCATAACTAGGACTCCAAAGAAGTTGAGCATTTTGCCTTATATCATAATAAACTAAGTCTCTTTCTTCCCCTTTTTTGTTTGTCCTATTCATGCCTTTCTCTCATTCCCTCCTGTCTCCAATATTCCTTTCCCATTTGTCTGTGCTGTCATCAATTCTCTGTCCCTTTTGTACATTTGTATCCTTCCCTTCATTCCACCATATTTCTTTCCCCTCCCTTCTGCATCTCAGTCTCCTATAAATTATCATTTTTTATTTTTACCATATGTATCTTTCATAAGTCACATCACATTGCCATGAGCTATTTAATTGAATATGCCACATTTGTTTTTCACATAACTTCACAAACTGGCATTTAATTGGATTATGCCACATTTCATGATGTAAAAATATATAGTACCCATCACAGTGAATTCTTTCTGTTGAAACAATAAATGCACAAAACCCGTTATCACATACCACAATTCTTTCTTAAATAACTTCACAAATTGACATTAAACAGAACTGTACCCATGCTTGATGATGTTGATGATACAGTTTAATGGTTATGTGATGGTGATGATGAAAAAATATCTGTGTTCTTTTGTTGAAATTTTTCTGATCCCTTTCATATTGAAGTGTTATGAAGCCAAGGAACATTACTGAGATCTTTTTATGTCATCTATATTGTGTATTGGTTTCTTGGAATGTTTTTCATGACATTCATGCTTATTTAAACATGCCGTCTTTGAAATGTGCTTTCAAAGCATTAGAATAAACCAAACTGGCTATGTATTATATTATTATATACTTTAATTTTTATTCACTACAAGACCATTTTAGAGTGGTTGCTGGCCGTGTTTTTGGCAGATAACCCATAAAAAGTCATTTTTTCACACAAATGATGTTTGTTGGGAATGATGTCTGTATTTGCATCAGTAATCTTATTCTCTGTGTATCATTACAATTTTTTTTTTGACATACAAATAAATTTGTGGGTGTTCAGTTTAGTGACAAGAAGGCCAGACAGTTGGCCCACATTGACTAAGCCCTTGATCAGGAAAGTAATCATTTGTAAATCTTTTTTCTTAGAATGTGCTGTTACTTTGCTTTTGTACTTTGAGGTGCTCCAGTTTGTTACTCATACCACAATCAACCGCCACGGTGGTCTAGCGGTTAGATTGCTGGCCTTGTAATCCAGGGGTCTCGGGTTCGATTCCCGGCGGTGCCCGAATTTATAACTTGTGTTGGGCAAGGCCGTGGTCTAGGCATCACGGAGTTTTCCTCCGGGGGCTTCCCCGGTTTCTCCGTGGCATCCCAACAATTACTCCATTCACACACAGAAGAAGGCAATGGCAAACCACTTCTCGATCATCTGCCAAGAACGTGTATGAACAGGTCCCAGTCCGAGAAAAGGATGGAAGGATCCTGTTCATATGGACCTGTCGTCAGACAGAACACTAAATAATAATAATAACCACAATCAAGTTTGCAAGTGCATCTCCACACATTATGATACAAAAGAGCAATAATTGAAAATAGTATTGTTAACCAATGAAACCTGGTATATCTTGCTGTTTTACAGTAGTGTGTAATTAATTATGTATGACAGTACTTTTTTATATGCCTTAAAAATTGTTAAGCTGCTTTGTACTTGTCTGTGTTTTAATACTGGAAACAATGTTGAGATGAATGTTGTGTATATATTATGTTATAGTATCGACAAGGTTCCCAAGGTGACATCACCAGTACTGGTGATTCATGGTACTGAAGATGAAGTAATTGATTTTTCCCATGGCCTGGCCATCTATGAGCGCTGCCCTCGTGCCGTCGAACCCCTCTGGGTTGATGTATGTATTGAATAGATGTTGTATTTTCACTTCCTTGTGCGACAAAATTAATTTTTATTAAGTATGTTTTCCGGAGTTTACTAATATCTGTTGCCACAGTCCAGTTTTGGTTAAAATTAGGCAATAGTAACGTGCATTATATACGATGATTCCTCCATTTTCACATCTTGCATAACAGAGATACTGGGCCCTGTCACAGTTTGTTTCTTCTAAGATTATATGAAATGCCCATTCAAAAAAGAACATGAAAGAGTCGAGTGTTCATGAGTTTTCATCTAAATGTGGCATAATTGTTTGCCCGAGAGGATTTTATAGCATTTATTCTCCATGAAAGCTGTAATTGTTCCATAGATTTATGTTATGTATATATTTCTCAGTGGTCTTGTCTCATTTTTCCCCTTCAGGGAGCAGGACACAATGATGTTGAACTCTACTCTCAATATTTGGAGCGCCTGAAGCAGTTTGTATCTGTGGAACTGCTCAACTGACAACTACTGCCACCTGGTGAGGAGTCTGAACATAATGCCACATCAACTGTCAGCTCAGCTACCACCAGCTCTGTTACTGAGAAATTGCTCTAGCTAACCGACCCTCCAGCAAATCAGACAGTTGCTGAATCAACCACAAGCCTGCAGGAAGAAAAATCAAACAGTGAACAATCTTGCAAGAGCAGTATCCTGAGTAGTCCTCCTGCTGCACCAGCAACTTATGAACTGCCACGAGAAACTACCTGCTAGTCTTTTTGACTAGGCAATTCATCAATTTGACTTTTGGTTTTGGAAAACAAGAAACTGCTGTTTGTCAGAATATTTCTCCGTTGATAGAGAAAATGAAAATATCTTAAAGAACTCTTGTTTAATTATTCTTACAGTACAGATTTTTTTTGTGATAAACTGTGAAGTGTGAGAGAATAGTACTTGTTTTCCAAAATGTAAAAAATATTTTGCTGGAGATGAATTCGGTCTGATGTGTTATGGTGGCATTGGTGCGAGAGTAAGGTAGCTCAGACAAAGTGGAACTAGTGAAGTAGCTAACCAAATTTCCTGTTATAGAATCAATAACTGTCTGATATTTTATAGGGATTAGTTGTGTATAAACTTATTGTTCCAAATTGAAGTGATATATTTTAAACTCCCATTAATTTGGCTGTTTACAATAAAAACTACACTTTGTTCTTGAGTTAACTTTGAGAAGTTTGATGTCAATAATAAAAAGGGCCTGGCTGTATGTGATGGAGGTGAGACACTGCCACTACATTATTAATTTCTACCTATGAGATGTGTAGGTTCAAGTTAATATAGTGATGTGAATGTGGCTCTACGCTGGCCTAGTAGTTTCGTTGTTTCGTACTTCTGACATCAGTCAGGAAGTAGCCTTTACAGTTTTGTTGAAATTTCCTTGTAGTTAATATAGTTTTATATTTTATTTAAAAAGTGTTACCATATTGATTTAATTGCAAATTTTCTCTTTGTAGTAATTTTTTAGATATATTTATAAATTGAAATGGATAGATTTTGTATGGGGATTTCAGATTTGTTTCTTTGTATAGATACTTATAAAAAA